ATGCGAGCTCGATTAAGCGCTGTACACGCTTCCATGCTTTCACTGAAAAAATATAAAAAAATCTTAATATTTTTTAACTGTTTAACTTCGTCTATTTGATTCGTCTTTCGCACATATTTACATAAAGGGGAGACAGGACTCTTGTTTGTGTGTGTGGAGAATGGAAGGAGGCAATGGGGAGACTTTCCGTTTGCCGCTTTGCTGTTTGCTATTAAAGCTGTTGACAGTTGATGCCCTGAAGCCATGTTTTCCACTTTGATTCAATTGTACAGAGAGTTTGCTCTATAGCTGGGATTATAAAAGAATGTGAGCAACCTATCTGTTTATAGCTTTACTCCTTTTAGTTGACTTTACCCTTTTCTCTTCCCTTCTCATCGGTCTGCCAGGATTTTTTTTATTTACCGAATCACTAATATTTGGGTTTGGACCTGTATGAATGCCAGTGAAATTAGATGTGCTTCATGAAACCATATGAAGGCCGACTCCACAATACACATTAACTATTGCAATTATTGTTTATTTAACGATTACAAAGTTAAATCAGAGTAGGCAGCATAATTTCTATGATAAAAAAATAAGAATCAACGGCTAAAGCTATTATCTATAAATTTAATGTTATTCGTTTTCTAAAAATAGAAGGGGTTGCGCCCATGTTATTTTCATGTAATAATCTTGACATTTTTGCTGTCAAAACTTTGAGATGATTGACACGACAACATATGATTCTAAATATTATTTTAGATATTTTAAACGGCTTCTATCTTTTTTGTGCAGTAGGAAATAATTAAAATTCTTCCCCACTCGTGCATACTTTATAAGATGCAGTTTTCATTATGCCAAATTTATTGACAGTGAACTAAAAACTAATAAGAATAGTTGTCATTTACTTTTTATATAATATATGTCAACATTTTACGAGTAAAGTGATAACTTTGCGAGACAAAAACCAAAAGACTATTTGAGTAATTTTTCTCATGCATAACATTGACATAAGGGGTTATATACAGTTAGAAGGCCGAAAAAAAGTGAATTTTCCAGAAGTTTTTCTGAGAAAACTTTTAAATTAATTCCAAAAATATATATACATATGGTGTATATTTTAACTATATTTTAAGACTTAGTACTAGTAAAAATATTTCTAATAATCTCAGGGAGCTCTTCTCAAAAAAGACGTTTTGCGGTGGCTCCTATATCTCTGAACTGGATTATATGAAATTAAAAAACCAAATGGATTTATTTAAAGTAATGTTAAATCTAGAATTAATCGAAGGAATAAGCGAAATAAAATTGTTTGACAAAATGGCAGTTTCTCTAAAAAGAATTTTTGAATTCTAACTGTATGTAACTCTATAATATCTATCACCACTATGTAATACCCATTCCGGTATAAAATTAGCAAGTAATGGTAAATTTGTTTTGAGAAAAATTTGTACTCATGCGCCATATATGTTTTAGGAATATTTTCCTATCAAATTTTTTATGTCATGTGGAAAATTTTACATCCAGCAATGAACTAAAAGGATGGTAAGCGTGGTTCTGAGTATTTTCTCACCATCGCCACATACGAGCAAAAATTAATGAAGTTGATTCAGACTCTGATCTAGACCCTATATACCTAAGTTTGTAGAAGGTATCTCAGCTTTAAGTGAACATGGTTGCTTAAATATAGTGTGATATGATTGCGAAAACAGGCTTTAATTTGAGCGAATTACGAGAACATAAAATGCTCGACCGCATGCGGAATTAACCTTTTATTTTAGATACGTGTTCTTGTTATTTGTTTTTGTGGAGATTATGTGGGTGAAAAGGTATGATGATGTTTTAGGTCAAAAATTCGTTTCAACTCATAGAGAAAACTGATCTCACTAACTCACTCTGTAAATATGTCATGAATTTTCTTCTTTCTATTTTAATTACTTTGCATTAACATATTAATAATGTTGATAATTACAATCACCATGACAACGTTAAAATGCGCTTGTATGATATCAAGCATCTTTTCGCTCCCGTTAGCTTTAAATTCTCAAGATAATTTCTGTAGCGAATTGAATGATCGATTAACGCATTATCGGGGGGTAAGCGGTAACTATTATAAGAAGCACTTATACTTTATAAATTTGTAACTCAGAATAATGCATTGGATGCAACAAAGATATTTTAATACTGTATAATAAGTGAATGTATACCCAGTAATATATAGTATATTTCAACTGAATTTCAAAGACTCTTACGCTCTTAACGTTGCTACCTCTTTTCCTGAGGCGCTATTTGATTTCGGATTTACATCAATTCTGGTTTCTTGCACGGAAGCGAGTTCGTTGTTTAAAGTAAATAAGTCACTTAATTTTGAGTTCTGCGAACGGTAGATCCTTAACCGGTTTTACTGATTTTTTATTGTTATTTTATTTCCTTCTGTGAGTGTGACATATTTAAGTCCTTCGCTGGAAATTACATATGAAAGCAACGAATGATTCCGAAATCCACATCGAAACTTCCATTTCCACCGTCTAGTGTGTGAGCTAAAAGCACTCACATGCATAAAAAGCCTCTAAGTAAAGTGACCGGATTTTATTAAACCTGTCAGCAGCTAAACTAATTAAAATTTCAACACCAATTTCTGGCCTCAGCTCAGCTCAGCAGCTCAGCAGCTTTCATAGTTTTAACAAACACATTTCGTAGAGCTTAAACCCCGAATGACGATGACAACGACAACGACTATTGTTTAAGGAGTTCAAGTAAGTGTGTGCACGTTTGTGTGTGTGTGTATATATGCAATTGCTTTGCTGATGTGTGAGTGTTGGCATAAGTGAAGTTCTTTATTTCCTTTTGTCACTGCAAAGTGATGTATATGCTTTTATATCTGTCTTTGTATGTGTGTGTGTTAGTAATTTCAATGTTTGTTGAGTGCTGCCCCATTGTTCGACACTAACATTTTAAATTAAGTTGGAGTGCTCTCTGGAGTGGGCATTTTAGTGGCATTTTTAATTCATTCCTTTTCTACTTTGTTTCACCGAGCCTGAGCGATGATAAAACTCTCTCAATTCTACACACGCACACACCAACAACGCCTGCGAGTACATGCATGTGTTAGTTATATTCATTATAATTCTCCTGATGGCGCTAGTAAAGTTGCTAGTGTTAATATGGGAGCCACAGGAAGTTGTGGCCGCACAAGCATTGTCTCGCCATCGCAGGCAGAGGGCGCAGAGGCTTCTGCGAGTTTTAGGCTTCCGTGTTGAATTTTTGAGCCATATTTACTTTCGGTGCAGTGGGCGAACGCTTTGAGTAACGGTACGTGCTTGCAGGAAATCAAAAAGAGTTGAAAACGAAAATGATTAGATTTGGCTGCAGTGCGGGTTCTAAACAAATATGGGCTTTCTAATGCAATACAAAGACGGTGAGGGTTGCCTTGTATAATCACTGGCTTATTTTTTCACTTTCTGTTACCTTATATATACGAGTAAGTACAGGGAATATTCCCAAAAATAAGGTTTTGCTTACCTAATAGTTATTTTCTTATTAATAATTAAATACTATGAAAATTATATGAAAAGATACGCTTATATGATATTATTACTATAAAATGGCTCACAAATTTTTATAAAAGACGACACTTGAAAAATATCGAAATCATTTTTTTTAATGGTGTCTATGCATTTGTGTGCGAAATTTTAACTACAAATTATGTGTAGTTTTCACTACATCAAATTTAATGACATATGCAGGTGAGTCGATGAAAACGATGTCAGCTTATCTTTATTGAATATATAACAATATTTTTGCCTGTTGATTACAACTTGTAAATTTCACCATTTGAATTATTTTAATCGACGTGAAGGACACATGTGTCCATTGTGCTGTGCTGTTGTCAGTTTAGCGTCATTAAATTTGACAAAGTGAAAGTCACGCTTTAGTCTGAGGTGTATCCTATATGAATATATTTTTTTTTGTTATAAACATACTAATTTATATTGGTTATTTTTAGACCATCGGCAGCTTTGAAGTACAGGTTAACCTCTTTGCGAAAAAATACTAAGTTTTCTCAATATTTGTTTTTTCATAAATCGTTATACGTTTCGACTCAATAACGAGTTTTGCGTTACGATCAAAGCTCAGAATTCCACTCCATTCAACAACAAATTCATTTCTTTTCTTTGTTTAAACCACTTTTGAGAACCTAAATAAGTGCTTTTTATGTGTCTATATTTTGCTCTTTTAATAATCCTGTTGCTGAGGACCACATTAATTTCTGTCAACTAAAAAATGCATTGAAAGTATAATATGCAATCCATAATCTTCTTTGCCGCAGGAGTATTTAAGTCATTTGTCTTACGAAATCCGCTTGAAGTTCAATGAGGTATAATATATTATATAATTCGAAAATAGTATATATTTATAACTCTCTTAACCCACTATGAAGCAGTCACGCAATCAGTTCGTTGGGGTCCGCTGCTTACGTAACATTAATTCTCATAAAACTTCAATCTGAGTCATTCTTCTCTCATAGAATCTTTACAGGCAGCCATGATAAAGATTCTTGGGAAATCCAGAGGAGGAGCAAACAGGCGAGCATACTTGTAAATATATAATTTTTTCACATAAATGTTTGTTTGAAGTGAGAAACTGCACTCACCCGGCATAATGCCAGCGTCAATTGAGAGTTTAGTTTGAGCACGACTTTTCAAAGGGCTGACGGCAACACGTCAACTATTCAATATGTATTACGGGCATCCGAAACAAATCCAACTGAGAATAATGCTGATCTCCACTTATGCGTTACTCAGTGGGTATTACATCGGAATGAAAAAGCTCAACAAGCGCTGCTTCATTAATGATCGGTTAGTGTATATTGCTAATCGAAGCGGCCGGCGAATCATCAAAGAGAGCGCTGTGAGTTTTAGTGTGAGCTAGCAGAGAGCAGTAGCTGGCAAATGCGAGAAAAGTCTACTTGAGTAAGATTCTGTATGTGCAACTAGACTTAGTTCTTGAAACAAAGCAAAGGGTGTAAGCAGCATTTTGTTGCACTTTAATTAATTCTCAATATTAAGATTGGTGAAAGTTCGAAATGTGAAAGCGAATAAAATTGTGGTGTTTTATCGGTGATCTATTAACTCTACCGGGGAACAAGTTAATAAATATTATTGATCTGTGTTTTAGTGAAACGAAAAAAATCCAACTCTGACAAGCGAACACGCGATTTCCAATAGAGTGTAGTAGTCGAGTGAGAGCACTCAAGCAGTAGCTTATTACGCACAACACAGATTTGATTTTGAAACATTCCGCCATAAATACCATAAATTGAACAGAGTTTGATGAGATTTTATCAGCAAGTGCCGATCAGTATATACGGAAAGTACATAATAGTATCCAAATGGCTTCCATGCGTGACCTACCGGATGAGGTCTTGATACGGATTTGCAAAAAGTTGAACCGAGATGTGCAACAATACTGCTGGGCTAATGTGTGTAGATTATTTCAATACATCTACTTTCGGTATTTTCACGATTGGGCTGAAGTAAATGACAATTTGGCGCAAAATTTCGGTCATCTCATTGGCACCGATGACTTTCCGCTTAGAATTATAAAGACGCTTAATTTGTCGAAGTCGAAATGTACGAAACTCTTTCTAAACAAATTACGCGATTGCCATAAGGAGATTGAAGAGGCGAAACTCTTTTCATTCACCGATGAATTCTTGGCTGAACTTTTACCATTACCAAATCTGAAGAAACTGATCTGCATCGGAACTTACAATTTGAGAGGTAAGCTCGACGTGGTCCATATAGGATTTGTATTAACATATCGAACTTGAGGTGTATTGCGCTTAGTTGTGAAGTTAATGTCTGTCGTTGGCTTTTACTGCTTTATCTCTAATGAAGTCATCAACAGTTTGAGCGTGGTTGAATGGATCTGTCTATGGGGGCTATCAAACCCACAAGTGAACAGGAGAAGAGTGGGTCATTTCGAGTTAGGCTATTTCGTTCTATCGTAGTTTATAGCCAGATCCATTCACTTCGATTCTTCATCTAATCTGGAGAGGTGAAAATATGAGACATTTCGGTTGTTTAGTCCAATGGTTTCCATGTCAAATACTGCGTTACTACTTTTTGAAAGATAGTGATCTTTTGAGGTAATCTTTGTCACTTACTTCAGGCTGAGCCCTTAGATATTATTAAGGTAGTTGTGTACTGTTGTATTCTTAGATATAAAGGGTGATCCTTAAAAAAAACACAGAAAATTCAAATTTAATGGAGAATGTTTATTATCAAGCGACAGAACATTCTTTGTCATTTACTTTTTGAAGATAATCCGTCCGTTGAGTCCAATTTCCGATGATTCGTTCGAGCATTTCGACTGGTAACTACTGAATCGAACCGGAATTGTCCGCATAGACTTTATACTTTACATATCCACACAGGAAAGCGTCTAATGTTGTGATATCACATGATCTTTTTGGCCAATCGTCCGTCGCAACATGTTAAGTTATCTGCTCACCAAAGTGTTCTTTTAATAAATCCATTGCTTGATGCGGTGTGAGGGAAGTGGCGCGATCTTGTTGAAACTAAATGTCGCCGAAATCACGATCTTCAATTGCAGGCATCAAATAGTCGGTTATTATGGCGCCATAACGGTCGCCATTGACGGTTACGTTCTCACCGCCATCATTTTTGAAGAAATATGGACCGATGATTCCGCCAGACCACAAACCACACCAAATCGTTGTTTTTCCTGGATGAAATGACAGCTCTTGAATCTTTTCAAGTTGCAGGCACAGGAATGAAATTAGTCATGAAAGGTAGAAGTTGCATCTAAGTCTAAGGTATTGTTATTTTAGACAAGCTGCAGTGTCATTCTATCATTTAGAACTAAATAAAAGTCTTTAACAGCTCGTTTAATGGCACATTTTATAAAATTTTCTAGGCAGCAGCTTAATAGATCTCAACAGTCTCACGGAGCTCCACATACACACTAATAAATTCTTTGATCCGGAAAACTTGCTGCAAATAACCTACTACAATTCACTGAGGACGCTCGTAATGCCGAACGACCCACAACCGCTTTCGAATAAGTACGCCTTTGAAATGGTCGAAAATCTAAAGAATGTCGAGGAGCTCGTGATTGAGTTTAACCCCTGTAAATCTTGGCAACTGATCGGCACTCTGCCGAAATTGAAAAGGCTCGAGCTCTGGGATTTCGTCAGTCATGAGTGTGAGCTGTGTTTGGAGGACCCCAATTCGTACGAAGCATGCAGAAGCCAACATGCCATGCTCTTCTTTGACGAATTGCGCCGGAGGAATCAGCTAGAAGAATTGATTTTTAGCGACGGTTATGTCTCTGAGCAGCATCTCTTGAGAATTTCGGAGCTGACAAATTTGCAGCGTTTGAAGTTCTGTAGAGCCTCTTTGCCAGGCTTCCTATCATTGGATGTGTTAAAAAATTTGATTAATTTAGCCTCGATGGCTGCAATAAAATAAATGTGGGGGGGTCACTTGAGCTAATAAGGAGTTGCCAGAAACTGAAAATTCTGCTCTTTTGGTTTGCTGGCGGCATAACTGTGAACTTTATTACGGAGGTAAATGATATCTTAAGTCAAAGACAACCGTCACCGGTTGAACCGTTGACATTGGGATTTTATAAGCACCCTGCTGAAGACTTGTGGGTGAGTTTGTTGCGGTTTTACATTCGGTATAACACAAAGTTAACATTTCTTTTGCAGAAACTATCGTTTGAAAAACCGCTTCCATTTTTAAGATTTATGACGCTAACAAGGAAGTTTGTAGAGGCGGAAGAAGATTACTTGAAAAGAGAAGAGGACATTGTGAGTCAAACGGATGTACAGGGCGACTCCCTGAAAAGGAAATTTTCGATGTGAGCATTTAATAAGTACACACATACATTTTCGGACACCCTATAAATAATTGAGTTCTTTTACATTTTCATTTGGTGTTGCAAACTAAATTTAGCATGAACATGCTGTCGGATCAAAAGGAATTTGAAATTAAAGTTAAACTAAAGTCAAAGAGCGAGGAAAAGCGCGGAGGCGAAATGTAACGGTTGACACTTTTAAAGCTACAACTAAATTGTTGATTCAAAATACAAAAAATGAACATAATGTCAATAAATACCTTATACTAGATGAATTTTTCGCTTAAGTAATCTTTCTGATTGATTTCATTAACCCCTAAATTGCTACCCGTAGTCTGAGCGACCCACACGATTATAGTTTTCAAAATCACTGATTTTTTCGACAACATATTGTAATTTTATTCCATAATACCACCAACAAACACATTCCACCTTCTGTATATGGAAATTTGAGTATTGACATTTATTGTTGCCAAGTGTTGTTGTGCCTCTAATACCATCACAAGCAAAGTGCTTACCAACAACAAAATTGCATATATTGAAAAGTGCAAACGAGCACATCGCTATCAGCAGCCGTGCGCGCTACTTTAGGTTTACGATTCAATATGATAGAGGGGTCGCTGGGGAGTGCTGGCCACTCCAACGTGTTTTAGTTCAGGTGGCCGCTTGGCCAAATGCGGCAGGTATTTGAAGTGCAAACAAATTTGGTAAGCAATTTCCTGTTTATTTTCGTAATCAAACCTAGCTCGGCAAATAACGGAAGCTGTCGCTACGTGACAAGCTGTGCGGTTTATTGTTGTCCCTGCGGTGGCTGTAATCGATTTGCAATGTAATACTTGATTGAGAATGAGTTCAGTTTTTCAAATCAGCATATAGTTAGTGGAAGGGATTTTGAAAAGGAAATTTGATATGCCAAAATTTAGATTAAATTAAAAATTGAAACTTTTCTATAATATTTGTGGTGTATTACTAGCAGCACAGAAGTAAAATCAGAGAAAACAAAGCACATCTTATCTAATAAAGGTCGGCATATAGCAGCTAAAACTTTCAAGGACAACTTAAATAGAAATATTTGTTGGTGAGAAAAAGTTAATATTCAGTTTGTCACGAAGTTTATAACACCGGTAGGAGACTCCGTAAAATGTATGTAAATATAATATATGATAGCATATAGTTGCCATTTAAACTGACCGATCAAAATCAATATAAATATCTTCAGAAGTGTTGTTTATATCAAACAACGTAGCTAGAAAGAACGAGCTACTTCATTAGAAGTTGATTAGAATTTTGAAAGTACAGAGACCCAATATTATAAACTTTTGGAAAATTTATTTTTGGTTTTCAGCTTTTATTTGATAGTTTGTGAAAAAAAACTAGGAATGCTATGAGAAAGCTCTTGAGGATCTCAAAGGCTAGAAATGTGACCAACTCTCTGAATTACTTTTTATGAAAGACAACTCAAATACTCAAAATAGTATCAATTGCCTATTTTGGTATACGGAAAATATAAATGATTTCATGATCCCTCCTTTACGCTTCCTTTATACAAAAAGCACGTTTACTCCTCTGCAACAATTTCCATACACGGCTAATTGCCTCAAAGAAGTCTTACCAACGACTCCTTCCCAGCTCTCAGGCAAATTTGTTTTGCAACTGTTACGTAATGTGAACAAAGTGTCCCCGCAGGCAGCAATGTTGAAGCTAATATTTACAGCGTGTAATCGCCAATACCGCTCGACGCTGTAGCGGCCCATGCACATAAGCTTTGTTAATAATTTTTCGAGTGTCTGTATTTTGTTTTGCGCTTTGTAGTTCATCTCGTTTTCGCCGCGAGTAGGACATTTGTACCAATTTCCTTGCCGCTAAGTGTAGTGGGTGCTTCAGGCATTTACCCATAATTGCGAAACAACAAAAGCGGAACCTAAGTCGGTGGAAGGTCGTTGGTTACACAAAAGCGATACTTTGCGCTACTTTGTATGCCGTGCCATGGAGGCTTCGCGAATGATGGAACTAAGAAAAGCGATAAAGCAAAGTGAAGTGAAGTGAAGTGCTGGTAGCCCATTGAATGGCACAATATTGTTGTTGGTGGAATGAAGCATAATAGAGGGAAAGAAAAAATCAGCGCGAGCGCTTTGAAAAAAGCCGCGAATTAAATGAGAAAGGAAGCGACGGCGTTGGAGTTTTTGTTAGCTGTTATTACAGCGCCTAAATTTTTATGAGCTTAAAGAGGTGCGACGGTTGAGTGGCTTTTTCTTTAAAGTCAAATATTGCTAAGCTAAAGGACTTTGATTGTGGTAAAATAATACCAGATATTCGAAAATAAAATTTTTTTTAATCTGACACCGAAAGTTGTCATATATTTTACTAACCAAGTTGACCGTAGCCGTTAAAAGGCACACCTATGGTGACAGCGCAAAAAAAATATCGATTTTTGGGAATTAAAAAAAAAAACTACTGTACAGTTGTTTTGAAATTTTCTGGGTATACATGGTTGAAGAGACAGTGTAATTTTTGAAAAAATAAGATTAAATATTTTTTTCAGTTATACAAGATAGACGATCCTAAAAAAGGTCCTTCACGGCCGCAGTGATTGCGCCCTTCTGCGGGAATGAAACCTAAAAATAAAAAAAATTCGTTGATGCTCTTTGTACAATGAGCCACGATTAAAAATTGACAAAATATTTTGGTCATTTTTGGCGTGATTAAATTCAAAAACCGTTATCACTGCAGCAAATTTGAAAAGTGCAGTTTTGGGAAAAACCCGTTAAAGATAAACTGATGAGGTTGTTTGAACAGAGCGGCTACACTTTAGAAGGCTGTTACTCAAAAACTATTTGAGATATCGCATTGAAATTTTAGTACGTTATTTTTAAAGGTATAAACTATCCAAATAAAAAACAAAAATATATATTTTTTTTTCAAAATTTCACACTAAGTGTGCCCTTTAACTGCAAAAGTCGCTACCTTAAATATGCCTCATCACTTAATACTCTTTGTATCCTCCTTTGCGTATACGTAACATACCACCTGATTTTTGCTGCTTGCTTGCTGGCTTTTGTCTGAAAAATAACCAGCTCCCCCACACATACATATGCGCAAGCATAAAATGATAGCGGTCTTGTGCCTTTCAACTATTCCTTACAATAGCTATGATAATGGTTACTGCATACAAAGTAAAATTTGCACCAGTGTTGGTGAGGATTGCATTGCAACTTTCTTTTCTTTATCTTGGCTTCCGAATTTTGTTAGTAACAACTTTATATTTTACGTGGCCCTTAAGCACTCGCACATACACACACACACACACATACAGTTGCATAAACTTGGAACTTTCTTCAGCGCACTTGTCTAGACAGCTTGTTATCTTGGCATATGCTGGGGCAGTAAATATTTTACGAGTGTACTTCCCAAAAAAGTGAGTGCGGATTTTGGCGATTGAATTATTACTTTCACTTTTGACATATAACGGTATAAACTACTGCAAAACAAGCGAATGTAAATTTAATTGTGTAGCCATAAGGTAGGGCGCTAATGTTTAACGCGGATGCGAATAAAAAGGGTACACCGTATTTTTATATTTTAAGAACGTGACTTTTGACCACCGAAGCAAACATTAATTACAATAAAATATTTGAAAAATATTTTTTTTTTCGTATGCACATTGGAAGTTTGAATATATGTTCGCTTTCTGCTGAATTAACTGCGATAGAGTGCAACGAAATTGTGTTGCGCAACAAAATTTCGTCACGTTTGCTGAAATCAGAGTGTCACGATAGTGAGATGAAAATATTTGAATATTGTTTAGATATCTTCGGTGCAAAATCTGGATATTTTTAGAATAAAAAGTTAGAAAGTTGCCACCTGTTTGAATGCTTTAAGTGAAGAAACAAAATTATAAGACAAAGAATCATTGCGATAATAGATAATAAATTGAACACGTGTTGGCAAGCATCACACTAAAAATACTTTTGCACGTAATGTCAGCTATTTATAAATTGTGATTCGGTAAAGTTTATAATATGTGCGTATTATTTTGATATGGTTATCAAATTGAAGACATTTAACAAAGAATGCAACTGAAAGTATTTTGCAGTGGGGTTACCACCTGTGCCAAATTTTTATTTAACTTAATTGGTTATTTAAAAATATCAAATATTATATTGCTAAATCTATATATAGTTCGCGAAAGGTTAGTCAGTAGAAAATCTATCTTTAATGATTGATCAATTAATAGTATATTACTTCAAAAGAATTCTAGTAGAATTGTGCTGGATTAATTTTTTTCTCCATTTTAGTTTTTGCTTTAATCTTGTATCTTTATATTTTATTTGCATCTACATTAAATAAGGATCGATCTCATGGCTCTATGAAGTTAGGACTTAAATGGAATTCAGACTTCTAAAATGTGATGGATTAGCTTATAATTTAGAACGAATAACAAACTCGCTGAATATTTTATTAAAATTTAATGGCTGTGGAAATTTAGTTTCAAGGAAAACAACCAATTACGTTTCAAAACTTTTTCAGCTTTTGTTTCATGCCAGAAAAAAGTAACAATTACCACATTTTAGTCGGTTAAATCGAGTGCTTCGAGAGCTAAGCTAAAATCCAATTTAATGTATTATCTGTATAATTGAAAGTGCAAAAATAAAAACGGAAATAACGAAGTGTATAATTCAAAAAGAGTTCGCAATATTAAAAAATAAAAATATTTCCATGAAAGTATAAAAACCTTACAACAATAATATGCCATTTCGATAGGAAGGATCACTCTGGTAAAATGGGGTGTTAAAGCCACGTGATGGAGTGAGAAATATATTCATAGTTGAGAGAGGAAGTCCCATGGCACGAAACGGAATATTTTTACCTGTAAAGCCCGCATTTTTTATTGCTTGCCCACTTGCACTTAGCAGTGGTGTAAGGGGGCTCATACGCTTGGCCATGCCAAAAGCGGCGGTTTTAATAAATTCATATCTCAAATGGAAATTCATTTTTACGTTGCAACGAAATTGGAATTGTGCGGTTGCCCGTCACCGATCACATATGCATGTGTGCGAGTCAGTGTGTGTGAGCAACAATTGCATTTCCATTATTGCTTTTTGATTGCAAAGAAGGGCGAATAAAGTGTTGCAAAGCCACCAACAGCGGCAGAAGGACAAAAGAAGTAGTTTTTAAAAAATTTATATTGAATGCGGCAA